TTAATTTAGTTTCTTGTTGATTAAGCTTATAAAAATAGGATTTAAACTTACTAGAGTATTTTCCCTTTTCTTTTAATTTCAATTTTTCAAGTAGTAAAACTACAGTTAAGCTCAAATTTTCCTAAAAATTATTAACTATTGGTTATGTAAATTCTAAAATCCATCTCTCTAATTATCATTTACCTTACTTTTCTCCATTTTCATTGTATTCTGTGTGTGCATGATGAGTTTTTTTGACACTTTGTATTCATATTTTGTACAAATGCACTGATTTTTTTTTTGTATATGTCTTGGCAGTCCTGGGAACGATAAACTTTATGATATTTGGTTAATTGTTGTGACTTGATCATCTTTTCTTAATTTCCCCCTTTTTCACCAGCTGGAAATATAGTTAAGTGTATGTTATAATTTGAGTTTTCTTTTGATAGTTGATGAATTCATTTAATTTGTCTGACATTTCACTGTCCTAAAATTCTCATTATTAAGGTCGGAATTACTTTATAAATTTATGAACCATTTTGATTCCTTTCATTGAATTCAAATCACCAGTAGCCATTAGTAATATGTGAATTCAGTCTAATGTTAATTCTTTCTTTAAAAAAAGTAGGAGTTAATTTTTTTCTCTTGTGGGTGCTTTGTCTAAATATCTCAACTCAAGCACACACCGTTATTTAGACATTGTCATTTATGAGAGAAAAAGTTTCATGGTCGTATTGAATTTAAAATTGGTAATTTTTTAGTTTCAAATTTGATTAATTTAATTTCTCGAGATTAGTTCTTCATCTTCCATCTATAACAGTACATTGGAACAAGATTTTGGTCATTCTAAATTCTGGAGTTATATTGTTAATTAGGGTATATCTATTTTCCACCTTAATTTATTTCCCTTTCTAAGTTAATTAATTAAAAAATTATTTTGTTTGTGTTTTGTGCATTAAATTATGATTTATTATTTATTGCACTGTAAAGTGTTTTTGTGCATCTCAAGGGGTCCCTTTAAGTGATTAATTAGGACCTAAATTTAGATTTATAATTTTAGATAAATGTAGTAAATTCAGTTTTCTTTCTTTATTTCAGCCTCTTGTCTTCTTTGTAATTGTATTGATTAAAAAAATAATTCCTTGTTATATTTTCATATGAGTGTGGTTTATAAATATCTCAATTAACCAGAGCACATAAAACTATTACCTAGATTAGGTACAATTATTTTATTCTCATTTCCACATTGAGGTTAATTTTTCAGTTTAAATTTCATTTAGTCCTCTCATTAACTTTTCATAAATGTTTTTTCTTCTGGTTGTGAAATTAAACTGTTAAATTGTTAACTTTTTAATTTGAATTGGCCAGGTTTCCATTTCATTTTCATTTTCCTTTTTACCTGTAATATTGGGATCCATCCTTGAGATGTTTCTATTTGATGTATAAAGTTATTTATTGTTTTGTAATGTATGAAATTACATATGTTTGTGTATCTCATGGGTCTCCTGTACATGTAAATAATCTGACCAGGTGGGACTTCTCTTTTCTTTGGGGTTGCAGTTTACAATTTAAGGCTTAATAATTGTTATTTTTTAACTGGAATCTATTCATTTCATTTCATTGGATTTAAAGTATAATAAATTCTGGATATTATAATTGTTAACTACTTGAATTTCAGTCCCCCCTCCACCTTTTTTTTATATTGGTGTTTCATTGATGAAAAATTCAATGGGCGTTTTTTTTCTCTCTCACGATTATGGGTTTATTTTTTTTATAGTGTTAATTTCTCTGGGTTGGGATTAAGATAGCTTTAAAGTTAGGTGATTTATTACATGGTGGGTCTCCTTTAAGATTATATTCTCCATTCCTTAGATACCACAGACTATTTTAGGGGTCTGTGATTGCATTGCTTTGTTGTATTATGTTGTATCAATGTATTATGTTATAGATTAAACAATTGTTGCTGATAATTGATTGTTGATCGACATACAGCTTGCTATTTCCGTTCATTAATTTGATATTTCGTAATTGATTGTCACTGTAGAAATTTTAAAGCTTTCTGAAGTTAAAAACCTCTGTACAATTTGCCTGGTTCATATACCTAAAATGATCGAAACGCGAAACAAACCAAGAACGGTAGCTTGGTTGAAGGAACCGTTAGCATATCTAATTCTTCTTTGTTAACAAGTTAGTACATTTACTTTCCTCATAACACAACATTCAAAAAAGTTAAAATACAGATCATACCGGTCATATATATATACTGATTTTAAGGCTTAATCAATTATAAGCAATGATTGATTATGAAAATTTCTAGATCTTTCAACACTTTAAGTATTACTGTATTAAGTTATAATCACTATAGCTGTATGTCTATTATTTGTCCTGTATTCATATCAAACATAGATTTGATGTTGATGCTCTTGCTGCTGCATTTGAACTATATCTTATGCTTAAGTTCTTTGTTTGTAAGGTACGTTATCTTATTTGCTCTCATCTTTTTACAAGTGTTATCCAAACCAAATCTGTACATGATGCTTATACTGTTGTGTTATTCAAACCCATTTGTACTTGATGCTTACATGGATGCTTCCTTTAATGCTGTAACCATACCAAATTTGTATATGATGCTGCTGCATCTGCCCTATATTTCTTGCTTCAGTGGTTCTGTTTATTCTTAGCAGTTAGGTTATTGTTCCGATCAAAACTTGTATAGATGATGCTTCTTTGCATGGTGAGTCTGATGATGAGTCTGATGACAAGTCTGATGACGAGTCTGATGTTTGTCACTTACAAACCACACTAAAGTCTTGCATGCATGCTGTCTCAGTGTTGCATCTCCTGCATACATTTGATAGATTAATTGTATTCAACCTCCATTTTAGATGTGATTACTCAGAAAAGAGACAGAATTTATTGTTGGTGTTCTAAATTTTGGTATATTTATATTTTTTTTTCTTATACAAGAATATTCAGCATTTGCATTGTATCATGTGTGTTTGTTATTTTGTACATTGCATTTAGAGATTGTATATTGTTAGTCTCATCTGCACACACTATTCTGTATGTTTGTCTGCCACAACCCTCGCCTCGCCTCCATTCACCTCAGCCTGCTAGATGTACAGTAAGTGGTTTCTTGTCCTGTACATGATCATTGCCACTTAACTGATGATGAGCTTGTAGCTCTACTGATCAAAGACAAAATGAGATCATGTAATGGTAAGGTTCTGTCGTCAGTCCATCTGTGTTTATCTGTTATTTACTACATATAATTGTTTGTTTGTATGTTGTTTAATGTCCCTCTCGAGAATTTTTCACTCATATGGAGACGCCACCACTTGCCGGTGCAAATTTTGTCCTTTACTCGGCACTTACGGCCTTTGAGCAGTGAGGGATCTTTTTCGTGCCAGCACCTACTGCGACACGGGACCTTGGCTTATAAGGTCTCATCCGAAGGACTGGTCTCCACGTTCCACAGTGGGATTCGAATCTGCGACATAAGGATCAACTCCTTACTTCGTGACTCTAGAGCAGATGATCTAACCACTGCGCCACTGTAATTGTTTGTATGTTGATCTGTAAAAAATAAATTTTCAAAATGAAACTTAATTCCTACAAGTTTGGACTGATTTCAATTGAATTTAATGCACATGTATAAATAAAATTTGTGATTAAGATTCACTGTCAGTTTGGATTTAATCCCTACAAGTTTGGATTGATTTCAATTAAATTTGATAAACAAGTATGCAACAAAGTTTATAATTAAGCTTCAGTGTCATTTTGGGATTTTGACCGACAGTATTGAAATGATATCAAGAAAACTTGCCACATAAGGAGATTTATCCATAGATCATTACTAAATTGATATTGTAAATTGATATTGCCATAGTTTCAAGCCAATAAATTACTTTCCTCTACCTTCCTTCATTAAACCAGTAGAGCTTAAGCCACAGTCAGAGACTTATAAAAGTCTTCATTGTACAAAAAAAAAAAAAAAATACAAAAAAAAATACAAAAAATACAAAAAAAAAAAAAAAAAAAAAATACAAAAAAATACAAAAAAAATACAAAAAAAAAAAAAAATACAAAAACAAAAACAAAAAAAAATACAAAAAAAAAAAAAAAAATACAAAAAAACAAAAAAAGGTGGGTTATGCTTGTTGTGTATAGTATAATGTGTGTGGTTATGAATAGGTGCATGTTTATATATGTGTATGTGTATGGCAGGTGTACATTCATGTGTGGGTAATATTTGTGCAAGTTATGTTTATATGTGTTTTTGTAATGTATATAATTATATGGAGCAATGTGCTCTTTATACAGTGACTGAACAACATATCTTGACAATATACATCTTGGTTAACATACAGACCTGACATCAGATTAGATATTATAAATAAGGATTTTTTTTTTCAAATTAAAATGCATGAATCGTATGATATGTTTCATGAATTATCTTCATCATAAAGATCTACCCTTTTCCCTTTTAAATTTAAAATTATTAATGTTAACTATAATCTAAAGTCAGAGGCCATTTAGCTTTCTGCTATTCTACATCCAGTGGTTCTCTAAAGAAATCTTGCAGTTTTCAAATTGTGCACAAAGGTTGGGTTTGATTGCCTATCATGACCTTTTTAAAGTCAAAGTTTAAAAATCCCCATGTTTCACTTAAAGTGTCATGAATCAAAATTCTTAATTGTCCACGACTCTAACCACTGCGCCATGTGAGTGCACTAAATATAGGGTTGGGAGGGGGTGGGGTGATTAAAAACCTGTTTTCTAGTATTTGTCAGGTGATGAGACTATCCAGTCCATCAGGAGCTGCATTATGATGAGTGTTTCATTCAGTTTATACCCTAATTTGTGAAATGATGAATTCAGCTTTTATTTTGTGTAAGTAACTTAAGTTTCTTTAATTGCTCGTTCCTTTTATAAATTCATCCATTCACTTAAATGTAATCTTCACATGATTTTTTGTAATAATACTTTTTGATAGGAATTTTCTTGTCATTTTTTGTGCGTTATTTTTAACTGTACTAATCTTCATCATTTTCTCTCTGTGAGAGGGGCTCTCGGAGGGATGGCCAACCAAATGAGGAAGAGGAGACAATTGGGAGAATTAGGATACAATGCCAGTGGACCAACATTGGAAAAAATAGCAAGAAGGTGAACTTTTGATTTTGTGTTTTATTTCTTCTTAATCAAAGGAAGCACTCATTTGACCTCTTGATTGACTCCCTTTGATAATAGAATAAAAGTTACACAAGTCTTGATCTCATTGTAGAGAAGAACTCCATCTCTCATCAAGAAGAGTCCAGAAAGGGGAAACAACTACAGCCAAACATGGTAGACAGGGTAAGACACTAAAAAATGAACTCGCTTCCTTCGTACTGACCTGGATTTCTTAAGCTCATCCACACTTCACATCTACATTAATATTGGAACCTCTTTTGATCTTATTTTGATCTTATAGCTTTATTTTACAGAATTGATGACAGCTGTACCCCACTACCCGTAGTACCCCTAGGTTAAGAAGAGTGCATCACCTGCCAGCAAGAATACCAAGAGAAGGATAGACTTTGGCCAACCCAAAAGGTTACCAAATGGTAAGGCAGCATAACTCCATCTCTTACACTGGATCAGTTTACATTGCTCTTTCGAATTCATTTAATAAAGTTTTTGTACCTTTGCAAATTAATCTTTCCACATTCTCTGTTAAGGAGGGATTCTTATATGGTTTCTGACTAAAAAAATGTTGTATATATATTTTGAGAGAAAAGATTTAAAAGATCATATTTTTCTGTCCTCCTCAATTCTACATCTATAAATAGAAATGATAATAAAACTGAATTTGAAATCTTGCATGATTATTGTAATTTTTGGCAGATGGTAGCATATCCTTTTCTACTTCTCAAAAGTACTACAGAGCAATGAATTCTTGTAAAATTATCCAACAATCAAAGAAATTTTCTGATGTAACTAAAATCAATAATAGACTTAAGTTTAAAATATATAAAATGAATATGATTTTCCAAGTCCAGACTCCTCCCCCTTTCGATTTTCAAAGTTATTAAATTTTATGCAATATAGTAAGCAAAAATGAACTTAATTGCTAACCATTGTGCAGGTTACTGTTGATTCCCTATTTTACATAGGGCTGGGATGATATATTGAGATATCAATAATATCTATGCAGCTAGGTTAAGGACTCCCATGTATACGTCAGCCTATGCAGAGGTTTGGTAAAGCTATTATGATGTCACGTTAAAACAATACAAATGAATCTCGATGAATAAATACCATATGTTCTTTTTAAAACACACTAAATACTTTCGTTTATCATAAATATTACAAAGATAAATGGATGTACAACTTATCTTACCATAATAGCACTTAGGGTATGTAGAATGAAAGCCAGCTTGATCTCGCTCTACTTACTGGATGACGTCATTTCTTACTTTGACACGCAGTTTCTCTGTACTTGAGGCGTGGATCAAGCTTTTATCGAAGCTTGTAAAAATAAAAATAAATACGAAACACGCGTAGTCGGACCAAAGGAGAGACATATTCGGAAACATATTAATCCACATTTTACTGTCTAACTAAATTGTTATTGTGTAGACTTTAAATAAAGCCATAGGGAGTACATTTGTAAAGTAACGTGCTAGAATGAGGGATCCAGCCCCTCGAAAATATCAAAAGTTCAACGATATCCACTTCACTATAAATTCTGAATTTTTAAACACGTGTAGCTATTATTCCTACTATTCTGAAAAGTGCTGGGAGCTGGTTGTGCATTATTGATTTATTCCGTAATGTAACATTATTCCAATGCGAATTACATTTTTGACTGGAGTTTATAGAAAAACGGCTAAATTTTAAGCAATTCCCAAGCATGAGGAAATTGCTCCCAGCACTTTTCGTGTTAAGGAATTTGTCTCAAAGAAAACAGAATAAATTTTATAGCGGAAAAATGCCCGTATATCGTTGAACTTTTACAATCTTTGTAGTAGTACATATATGTTCTAATTTTAAAACTGTCACGTGACAAACAGCTGATGTAAGCGATGTCGCTTTGGCCGAACTCAGCAGAGACCCAATATATACAAGTGCAAACACTACAATTCACATCTATCAAAACTAATGCTGTTAAAAAAAATATTGAAATTGTATTCATTTTCCCTGAATATATTAAGGCGTATATTTCATGGGCATCCTTAACCTAGCTGCGTATTCTGTGTGCAGAAGACAATACTCATATCTTGATAAATTTGTAGAAATATCGCAAAAAAATTCTGACTTAAGTTTTTTCTGTTTACTTAACATTTTGGGTTTAATGTAAAAAATGAATATGCTAAATATAGATATAGATATGAAATACGTAATAATTAACACCACATGTGTAAAATGATTTTGTTTTATAACAGACAAATAAATTATTCTAATTTTGTGAAGAAATGTTTTGTCCATTTTCAATACAAAAAGGACATTTTATATCCAATTCAAGATATCATGTTACATATCATATTGGCTCAAATTTTGTGATATGAATTCATATAGAAAAAGTTGTATCATCCCAGCCCTAATTTTACATGAGTCAATACAGCAAGATGACTCGTAGATGTCAAATAGTGAGTATTTCAGCCATGTAAAAATAAGAGCAAAAAATCTTATTTTGGGAGCAGTTACTAGTGCTTGTCATGAAAATATGCAATAATTAATTCTACAGTATAAGTAACATATAGATATACCACAGAAAAAATACACTCATCATATTCTCAATGTATTATTCGGAAATTATGTTATTTTTTAAGTTTCAAATCAAGATATTTCAGAATCAAAGAACAAGGTACGGTTTCGATACAAATCTGGCCCTTTATTTCTCTAAAATTTAGAAGTGATGTAAGAAATTAAACTTTATCTTTTCTGAATTATTGAAATTCCATGCAATAACAAAATACAAATTGTTTTTCCAATATGACCTCAATGCTAATTGTGACATCATGAACTTGTGCATTTTCCTGTATTTTCTTTAAAGTTGCAGAAGACATCAATTTTCAGTGGAATTTTTCTTTCAGAAAACATACAGCGCACAAAGATTTTGAGATATGTGATTTTTCAAAGCATTTTACATAATATATCTAAAAACTGAAGTGGGCGAGGACTGCAGAACTATTTTCTAAAGGATAATAAGCACAGAAATGAGTCATTTTGAGGCTTTTCTGCATAAAACTAAGAAATGTACTACCAAATTAATGACGTCATATTTCCAGAATGGTCCTCCTTCATGCCATATTCTTTAATGATTTATCATATTCGTCTACTCAACTCATGCTATAGCCAATTTAATAACTTTTTAAGAACATTCAATTTTTAGGGCATAATAAAGCCCAAACTGTACCTTCTTCTTTGTTTCATATTCATTTTCAGATTTGTTTCATATTCAGAAACATCACTGATAAGATCTTAACTGGGTCACACTTTGACCTCTTGACTCTCATTTGACAGGATGTAGAGGAGCAAGGCCAATCAGAAGCACTAGACCACTCAACAGCTAGAGAGCCCGGCAAAGGTTAATTTTACCAGACATAAGGTGAGCTGTATTCCTAATTAACATTAGTGATCCTGGAAGTGCTAGGCATGAATTGCCCTGCAACCTAAATATGCAAAGTACATTGATATGTACCTTCTATGAAGTGTACAGCTTTTTCTGCTGCTGCCTAGGACTGTTTGGATGGCTTGGTTCATTAAATATAATGCCAAGTTCAAATACACATGTTAATTCAATATGGCGCTAAAACTACACACACACATTAGGTCGTACATCAAAAGGTTACACATTAACTAGATAGTTTGTACGATAGCACATTTACGAAACAAGGACAGGCATGTTTTTGTCAACTGCATTATTGTCTAGTTAGTACTGTACTGTAAATTGTAAGATGTAGATTATTATACCATAATGTAATTTCTCTGATATGCCATCACTGCATATCGGTATAATTATAGTTATTATAGAAAAACGCTATTGGCACTGCGAGCAGGGACTATTTTAGTTTGACATTGGGGTCAGTGCTTTGCCTACATGTGTTAATGCCTGTTGCCATCTTGGATTATTTCCGAGATGTAGGGTAGCAGTAAATAGCCCTGGATATTGTAACCTAGTTTGGGGGCGGAGACGCTATTGATGGCTGATTTTGATGGGTCTGTAGATCTGAGACACAGTTTCCAGCAGTTTTACTCTCAGACCCAGGAATGACATACTTTCCTGGAGGGGGTTGTTGACCACATTCAAGGGGAAATGAGCCAATTTCAAGAAGAAATAAATCAAATTCAAGGAAATATTTCCCAAGTTCAGGGTGACTTTGATGTGGTTAACAGCAAGGTAGTTCAAGATGCATGGGCCTTGTTAGGGGACAATTGGCTTATTGTGCACCAATATGACTCGTCAAATGGGATTTGTTGAGATGAATATGGGTTCCATGGAAAGAAATATGGGACTCAGTTAAGCAAGATTACTCAAATGCTTGCATAAATGCTGAGGTCTCAGATAAGCCTCAGTCAGTTACAAAACTGCAAAAGACCAAGTTCACTGACAGTCAGCCTTTAGTGACTAGTAGCCAGGGGAGTACCAGAGCATAGCCTGCCTGTAGAGCAGCCTGTAAGTATTGTATTGAGCTGTATTGAGTCCTGGATCTGTTTCTGTCTATAATCCTGAGGTCAGGTTGTATCTGCAACTCAGGATCAGTAACTTTTTAAGTAAGCTACAGAAGTTTGGGTTGGGGTTTGCTGAGTACCATTATGTTTGGCTCATTCTTTTCAGGGGTCACACTTAATGGGGATTCCCAGTAGATCCCAGCATGGGCCTATCCATTCCAGGTCATTTTGCTTGGGTAATGGGCATGACCTTGATCACACTCTCTGCATCTGTGTATTCTAGTGCAGGGAAGTTGGATAGTCAGGGCTCTGGCTACTATGGTGGGTTAGTAGGGCAGTCAGTGGCACTGGGGGAAGGGGAGGGGTCAGTCATTTGTTCCTGGAATAGGAGGTATACTCTGGCGGAGGCAATAAAAAGAGTAAAAACTTATCAGTTAAGCCGCCGAGCAGTGGTTCATCGTCCACGTGCTGTAAGGTCAGTTTCCTCAGCACGGGACCATGAAGGGTGGAGATATTCTCACTCATCCCCTGCTCACCGACGTAAGCTCTCGGACTCCGAGTGCCGAGATAAGTCAGAAGAGCGGAAAACTGGTTCCACTCGTGACTTTAGGGAGAGTAGTAGGGGCCGTAGTCCAACTCGTAGACCTATGAGGGGGAAATAGGGAATCGTAGGGCAGCACTGGGGGAAGGGGAGGGGTCATTCATTTGTTCCTGGAATAGGAGGTATACTCTGGCGGAGGCAATAAAATGAGTAAAAACTTACCAGTTAAGCCGCCGAGGAGTGGTTCGTCGTCCACATGCTGTTAGGTCAGTTTCCTCAGCACGGGACTGTGAAGGGTGGAGAGATTCTCACTCATCCCCTGATCACCAGCGTAAGCTCTCGGACTCCGAGTGCCGAGATAAGTCAGAAGAGCGGAAAACTGGTTCCACTCGTGACTCTAGGGAGAGTAGTAGGGGCTGTAGCCCAACTCGTAGACCTATGAGGGGGAAATCAGCGAGTCAAGGACACTCAAAGAGTTCAGGGACAGTAGTTTGTTATGAATGCAAAGAACTGGGACCATACGGTGGAATTGTCCGCGTAGGAGCAACCCAGAGTCCCTGTGCTTGTGTCTGAAAAAATCTGCCGAGACTAGGTCAAGGGAAAGTTCGTCTAGTGCTAATAGGGTGACCTTTTCTGATACTCCAAATGTCAAGGCCACTTATGTTATTCCCTTTATAGGGTCAGTCAAAGTATAGGCTCAGGTGCGTGGAATATACCAGCTGAAGTCAAGTGGATGAAGTACAGTAGGGATGAAGAGTGGGGACTATTCTATTTAAAATTCTCCACAATTGCTGAATACCATCAGTGGAGTGACCAATCTTCTGTTTGCCCTTAGTCTGACATTGGAGGGGGCAGGACTTAAGTACTTTGATATCATGCATCTTAGGGATGCTCTGTTAAGTTACATTAAGTTTCCAGGAATTCATTCTCTGGATGAAGGAGAGGTTTGGAAAAACTTCCTTAAGGGCAGCCTCATAGCTGAAATTCAGCTTGATAGCACAGAGGCCAGAAAAAAAACCCAATAGAACAAAGAGGGATAGAGTCTTGGACACTGTCCAGAAGGCATTTGGTAGCATATTCCAAGACCAGGTTATTGTTAGGTTTGCTCTTGGGGGGCAGGGATAGTGAGGTGGGGAAACAGTTAATCAACAATCTCCCTTGTACTCTGGCAGAGGAAATAAAACAAGTAAAAACTTAGATAAGTCACCAAGCAGTGGTTCGTTGTCCATGTGCTGTTAGGCCCATTTCATCAGAGTGGGACCGTGAAGGGCAAAGAGAAACTCGTTCGCCCTCTGTTCACTGGTGTAAGCTCTTGGACTTCAAGTGCTGAGATAAGTCATATGAGCAGAAATCTAATTATTTCCCTTGTACTTTACCAATAAAATGAGTAAAAACTTTCCAGTTAAGTCACTGAGCAGTGGTTCATCATTCACATGCTGTTATGTCAGTTTCCTCAGAGTTGGACAGTGAAGGGTGGATAGATTCTCGTTCACCCTTTGCTCACTGGTGTAAGCTCTTGGATTGTAATCGCCAGGATAAGTGAGAGGAGCAGAAAAATAGTTATCCTGGTGACTCCAAAGAGAGTGGTAGAGTCCACAGCCCAAAGTGTAGACCTCAACAAAAAGTTCAGCCCAGAGGGTCAGTAGGACTAAGAAATTGGGACATATACAACAGAAATGAGAATGTAAAAGCAACCTGGATTCCCTGTGCTCCTATCTTAAAAAAGCTGATGAAGAGACCAAACATAAGAGGCATTTCTCTAATTTTTGCTTATAGACTAACCCTATCTGACATGCCAAATGTCAAGGCCACGTACTATTCCCTCTGTAAAGTCAGGGGAGCCAAGGTTTTAGCTCAGGTGCATGGTCTGTTTCTATTGAGATAGGGGAGCCAGTAAATCAATGCCATTATTGATACATCAGCTGACATCACCATTATCTCATGGGATGTTAAAGAGTCACTGAGGCCCTGGCCTGAGATAGTAAGAGACACCAGTATCAGATTGTCTGGTGAGGGGGCAAGAAGGAGGACAAGAATTGTAAGAGACTCCCAAGTCTTTATCTGAGAATTGAGGACTATGACTTTGCACACCAGATATGTGTTGGTCCCTTACAAGATGACGTTGTACATGCTCTTAGGGATAGATTTATAGATTTCCTACATGCATATGATGCTGAAGTTTTGTGTGAAGCACGAACACTCAAGATCAAGGGTATAGACACAACCTTTAAAATGAGTACCGAGACATCAGTGCAACTACTTGATGCAGGTTCAGCCCATAGGGTACGTGTTTCTCCACACACTGTGCAGGTGATTGAATGTGATTCAAGTGCATAATTATGCCAGATTTTTTTTTACTAGAGCCTGCCAGTATTTTTCTGCCTGGTACATTAGCTTCACAGACTTATTATGCCACAGGATGAAGAGCTTAGTTGTTTACTGAACCTGACAGATAGAAGTTAAATAATTAAGACAGGAACCAAAATAGGGAAAGCAGTCCCTGCTGATTGTTTGCTACTCACTGGGAGTGTATGGACACCTAAGTGGAAAACTGCAAAGCTGGTAGATCAAGATAGCTCTGTAAGACCTGAAAAAGACAGCCTATATACCCAAGTGAGTTACTTGAACTTACAAGGATGGGTTTTGGTCTGTGCAACACCCCTGTGACTTTCAGTAGGGCAAACAAACTAGTGTCACCTAAACGGAACTGGAAAATAGCCTAAGCCTTCCTGGGTGATGTCTTATTGCTGGGAGCTACAGCAAAAGCTCACCTAGGCCACCTATGACAGGTATTTAAGAGATTCAGAGAGTATGGTTTGAAATTTAAATATTGAAAGTGTGAGCTTTTCAAGATCAATTTTGTGTTCTTAGACAGAATATAAGTGAGCAAGAAGTCAAGACAGGGGACAGGTACATTAAGGCAGTATGTGACTGGCCTGTACCATGTGATGTAAAAGATGTTGAGCATTTTCTAGGTTTTGCCTACCACCCTCACAGTTTTATTCCCCAATTTTCTCGTATTGCTGTATGCATTATGCAGTTACTAGAAAAAGTGGTTTCTGGTTGGAAGATGAGCAGCAGAATGCTTTTGAGGAACTCTTTAAGTTAATGACTAAGTGTCCAGTATTAGCAATCTCAAACAGTCAAGATCAATTTATTCTGGACACTGATACGGTAACCTCAGATCATGCGGTGGGGAATAAAGCCAAGTCCAGAACGTGAAAAAGAGAGAACAAACTAGGTAATGGCAGTGCAGTGCTATAAGTAGAGCAGTGCTGATACTGTACTACCAGGAAAAAGAGTTGCTGGCAAGAATTCAGTTCACTTGTCAATTTCACCATTACCTGCATGGCAAGGAGTTCACAGTCAGAGCTATTTTTATCATCATAGCCTAGTCTGGTTG